CTGTTCTGGTCCATCGACCAATCAAAAAGCTCTCAAATGACCCGGAAGTCGAACCCATTTAAATGTGGCGACTTTCCAGTTCAACAGGGAGTTTTTCAGAGCTTGAAAGTTTTTCCTGGAGAAGAGTTCCAGAGTTTAACTCTCTGAAGAGAGTTAAAGAGTTCAGAGCTCTTGGATGCTAACGCAGGCGTCCAGGATGCTTCCATTGGAATCCAGAATCCAGAGACAATTTTGGGGATTATAACTTCTGTTTGGATAACCTCACACGACTCCTAGGGGTTTGGCTGTCCTCACGGAGACGCTGAAAGAGTCAGAAGGGAACTCTACACCGACGCTGATTATCATCTGCCAGGTAAAAGTTCTATTCGACCAAGCGTACCGTGGGCCAAGCTTATTCTCCAAAGAGCGTGTTGTTCTGGTACCACAGATAAATTCCCTCACACATCTCTCTGTAAGATAAATCTCCATTTTCCATCTTAAACTCTCCTTTCTCCTAAAATCATTACAGATATTTTAGAAATGTCTGAAGCAAAGTTTCTCAATCACCGCCGTGTGATTGATGTCTGCTGTTCTGCTGAAAAGTGACAACAATCTCCGTATTGTTCCCACTTCCTGTGAAACTAGCCATGTTATTGTTTTCATATTTTGCCAAATTAATGTAAATGTTTGATGTTAAACTTTGATTCTGTAAATAAATGACCGCATTCATTTTGATGGGTCAAAGATAAATAATGTCTCTCGTTACATTTCTGTTAAATTCAATGCACGACATTTACACAGTCAGAAAAATGAAGAACCCGTGAAATGTTTGAATATATCCTGCATATGTCATACTACAGTGGCGACAAACAATATTGCGCTGCTTGCCCTTAACATATCTAAGCAGGCAAAGGAGATGAACCCTTTCTCCACAGACCTGGACCAAATCTGTACAGCGGCAGAAATGATTACCAACCTATGCACAGCACCCGTGGCACCTTTATGCTTGCATCTCGTCCTGGGCAACAGTGCTACAAAGGCAGATGTGGCTGAGACTGTCTCTATCCCAGAGAACATTAAAAAATAACTTCTGGAAGATCTGGTGTCCTTGGATTGCCTCTTCGGATCTCACTTCCAGTCGGTCTTAAACCAGCTGCAGTCCTCATCTGACGCCCTGGAGCAGGTGAGGAGACACGCGACCCTACCCCGGTCAGACCCCCGCTCTTCTTGGACACCGGGCCACTGGCAAGTACAGAGCAAATTCTAGCATCAGCCACAGACACGCTCCACAGCCGCTGCTACCCTTCAATGATTCAAGGTCATCACATGACTTGACTTGACATGATGATCCACACGGACAACAGAACCGCAGCGGTGTACATAAATGGCCAAGGCAGCATGCGTTCAGCTCAGCTGCTGTACGTAGCCAGGGAATTGCTTTGCTGGGCACGCACACATTTACGTTCGATCAAAGCAGTTTACATTCCAAGCATGCTAAACAAAGGAGCAGATATTATGTTGAGACAAGGCCCTCTGTACAGAGATTGGATTCTTCATCCAGATCTAATTTAGCAAATCTGGAGCAGGTTTGAGAAAGCAGAGGTGGATCTGATGGCCACCGGGGAGAAAACCCAGTGAGACCTGTTCTACTCCCTAAATCCATGGGACGCACCGCCACTGGGGGTGAACGCGTTTGTGCACAAACCATGGCCAAAGACATAGATTTTTGCTTTTCTTCCAGTTCCCCTAATAACATTGCTGTTGGAGAGGGGGCGAGAGGAGAATCTGAAAGTGATTTTGATCGCCCCAGAACGCATGAACGCCTCATGGTTCCCAGTTCTGCAACAGCTGACAGGTCAACCGTGGAAGCTGCCGTGGTGAGAGGATGCTCTCCTGCAAGCAGGAGGAGCAATCAGGAGCTTCCCTATAATAGGACAGCCCCTTTGGGCCTGGCCACTGAACGGGAATGCTTAGAAAAATTTGGATTTACCAAAGACATAATATGTACAATCCAGGGAGCATGTGCAACATCCACTACGGTTGTTTATGCTTCTAAGTGGGCTGCTTTTCAGCGATAGTGCCTAGAAAAGGAGGTGGACCCCACCTCGTGTCCCCTGAGCTGCATTTTATCCTACCTGCAGCTGCTGTTGGACAGAAATTTAGCTTTCAGCACAATTAAAACTTATGTGCACAGGCTCAGGCCAGTGACGTACATCTTAGCACCACAGTGGGATCTAGCGCTCATACTCCATGCACTAACTAAAAAAACATTTGCTCTCTTGGACCAAATACTTTGAAGTATCTGTCTCTCAAAGCAGCATTTTTATTAGCTCTGACATCAGCTAAAAGAGTGAGCGACTTGTTGAATCTGTCTGTCGCTTCTTCTTGTCTCAGAATCCAAGAAGACAGGAGCTCAGCAGAACTCCGACCAAACCCTGCTTTTATACCAAAAAGAATACGTTAATTCAGGTCCAGAGTCATTACGTTGGACGGTTTCAGTCTTCTTCCGCATAAATATGTGGAGGAGGAACAATTTCACCTGCTCTGTCCAATACATGCTCTCAGGTGTTATGTGATATGCACAGCTGCACTGCGTAAATCCAAACAATTGTTCATACATTTCAGGGAATGATCACAAGATCAGCCTTTATCTTCCCAGCGTCTGTCACATTGATTATGTGAAACTATGTCACAAGTTCTTCTGGTCTTCAACCACCTGAAGGACTCAGGGCTCATTCCACCAGGGGAATTTCTACATCCACAGCTCTACACAGATGCGTGTCTCTACAGGACATCTGCTGTATAGCTTCATGGTCGTTGTAGTGATGTAGGGTTAGGTTAGCTTAGGAGCTCCACTACAATCAATATTTAATAACGGGTTCTCTCTTTTTCGAGCTACTTGACAGATATGTGACAGAGGTACTGTGTTGGAGATGGTCTAATCAGTGACATGAGACGTTAATTTTCTTTGACCCATCAAAATGAATGTGGTCATTTATTAACAGAATCAAAATTTAACATCAAAACATTGTACACTTGATTATTACGATCGGCTCTGATTAATAAAACTTGGCACGTTTTACTTAATAAAAACAACAGACATTTCTGAAGATATCTGGATTAATTACTGGCAAGATAGAAGAGTTTTAAAGCTGGGAAATGAAGGAGTTTAAATGGAGGGAAAAGATGGATGAGGATGTATGTCTGTAAACCAGGACAACACGCTCCTTTCAAGCGCAGTTCGCCCGCGGTACACTGGTAGTGAAGCTCGTGACGACTCTTTACCTTGGCAGAGGATGAGTCAGTTGCGGTCAAGAGGTCCCTGGCACGCTACCTTTCAGCGTCTCCTCAGGGCGGCTGCGACTCGGCAGAAGTCGTGAGATAATCCGTTCCACAGAACAAACTTCCTCAGCAGTTATCGGGCATTCGCCGGGTGGAGCCACAGCGAGGCGTCGTGGCTCCGACAGGAACTCCAGCCGAACTCCATCAGAACCAGAAGAACTAACGGGACTCTGAGAAGACTCAGAAGAACTCAGAACTTCTGTTCTTCAGCACTCGAACTTCTGTTCTTTTTCGGAACTTCTGTTCTTCCCCCAGAACTAACTGGAACTAGGAAGTGTCAACTTTTAAAGAGTTCTGCTTCCGGTCACTTTTAGGAAGTCCTGATTGGTTGAAAGAACCAACAGGGGTGTGGTTTTAGTGACGTCAGAGGGTTATTACAAGTCAGATAAACAGCGGAGATGTTTAGGAACAGACAGAGAAATGTTTTGGAGAAATGACAGATTCACAGGTGCCAGCTTTCTTGTTTCTGTCTGAGAGGTTTAAAAACATGACAGTACGTTCCAATAAACTTGTTTGCGACTGTCTCCGACTTTTGACCGACATCACTCCTTTCTCATTTCAGACAGAAGATCAAAATGCATAATTACTTTGTAACAGACATTTAACTTGATTTCTACTTTGAATGAGGATTAAAAATCATTAATACTGTTTCACAGTTGATTTAAAATGAGTGGTTCACTTCAACATTTTAAATGGTTTGAACTAAACACACTTTTGATTATCAAGACATTGTAAAATATTAATGATAATATAAAAAAGAGAGTGTTCTTTCAATTGATTAGTTCAGGATACAATTAGAAAGTCTCTGGATGAGCTAATTTGTATTTCTGGATTCAAATCAATGAAATAACAGTTCCTGTCCCATGAAGGTCTTCAGAGGCAGGTTTTGACCGGAGGCCGAGTTCACTACATCGTCACCGACTCCCTTCATCTATTTTTATTTACGAAATGTCTCCAGCTCTTCTCTGACACATTCAGTTCTCAGAGTTACGTCAGAGTGATCTTTCACAGTCACACAACTGTAAAAAAAAAAAAAAACACAGCCCTGCTCTGTTATTATTAGCAGGCATTTTTTTTGTACGTTCAAGCAGGAAAACGTCCCTTTTTCCTCATTAGAAGTTTTCCCTTCTTAGTCCTCTGGTTACCTAATATGAATAAACATTCCTTCAGCTAAGATCTGGCACAGAGGTTGCACGCATGTCATCCAGTACACACCAGGTACATGGATCAGAGGTGCATAATTATGCTTGAATGGAGAAAGTGTAGTCCTTTAAAAATTGGGCCTCACTGGCTCTCAAATGGCTGAAGAACAGAGTACGCCTTTTGGGAATGGATCTCCGGTCCAGATGCAATTTATAATGGACCAGATCGGGCCCACAAAGTAGGTGGGTGTGAACTAGAAGTTTTCAGCGTTCGGCGAGCTGCGCACGAGGTGAACCCAATAGTGACAGCTTTTAAAGGTCTATGCTTACACCCATAGAATCTGGGGTTACAATACGTAACCAACTATTTTAGGTGTGTAATATTACTTTAGGCTGTTAAGATTGGCCTGACTAACTATTTCTGTTCACTTGTTTCTCCGACGTTTAATGACATTATTCTGAATCTATAGTAAACAAATAACACTTAATTTTATAGAGACATTCTTTGAACTTGTATGGTTTTCTATATGCCCTTAGACAGACTTTGGCTTTGCTAAAAAGATTGGCATTGGAAAAAAGACCTGGACATTCTGCGGTACTCCAGAGTATGTGGCACCAGAAGTCATCATGAACAAAGGCCATGATTTTGGGGCTGATTGTTGGTCTTTGGGAATCCTCATCTTTGAACTTCTCACTGGAAAGTAAGTGGACCAGACACAACTTTTAAGAATCTACTGCTAGGATTATAATTTCTGAAAACAAATTTGTTTATGCTAAAACCCTGAGATATAATATCCTGATGCATGCTCAATAATCCAGGTAGAAAAATCCAAAAAAGTTCAATCTGGTCCTCTGGACATTCAAAAATAAAAAATAAAATAAAATAAAAAGCAAAAAAAATGTAGAAATGTTTTGTCTCTCATCCGAAAGACTTCCTTAGTCTGAGGTGCTGTATTCAGCTCAGTCTCTTAAATAGCACCTTCTCAGAGTGGATCAACCAGTTTGCTGCTGACAACCAAAACCAGCTGCTCACATGGTCAAGAAGGACCATCAGCCTAACAATGGATCATTAGCACACTGATGGCTGTTTACTATTCACAGGGGGTTGAGTGATACTAGCAATAACAGCATTGCAAGAGGGGGACAGTTGAACCCGGAAGCCTCCACCCCTGTTTAATGATGGATGATTTCTTTTCACAAAGATGGCCTCCTTTACTCCTCTCTCAAACCATCGTTCCTCTCTGTCAAGGATGTGAACATCTTCATCCCTGAAAGAGTGACCGCTGGCCTGGAGATGCGTGTAGACCGCAGAATCCTGGCCTGATGATGTTGATCTTCTGTGCTGGGCCATACTTTGGGCCTGAGATATAATAGTGATAGGTTGTAGTGTCAAGCACTTTGAGTATCTTGATTAGATAGAAAGGCGCTATATAAGTGCGGTCCATTTACGGTCTATAGTTGGTAGTGTTATCACAAACCACCCACTAGGGAGCACAAGTCAGTAATCTCTCGTGCCGGTCCCAAGCCTGGGTAAATGGTGAGGATTTCGTCAGGAAGGGCATCGGACATAAAACACTTTTGCCACAACTAATGTGTGAGTTCATCTAAGTAATACCATACCAGATTGGTTGAGGCCAAGAATAACAATGACCACCACCAGTGCTGTTGACAAACAGGGGGCTGACAGAAATTGTGCTTCTGTTGGTTGAAGACTACGAGGAGGTAAACATGCCAAGAGACAGAGGGAGAAAAGGAAATTCAAGAACATTGGACTGAGGGTGGTGATTCTAAATGTGAGGACAAATACAGGCAAAGTTATAGAGCTGGCTGATATGATACAGAGAAAGAAGATAGATGTTTTATGTGTCCAAGAAACCAAGTGGAAAGGAAGCAAGGTTTGCAGCATTAGAGTGGGATTTAAACTGTTACCGTGGTGTGGCTAGACAGAGAAATGAATGAGAGGTGTTCCTGAAGGAATTAGGAAATAATGTAGTAGAAATGAAAAGAGTGTCAGATAGGGTGATGTGCCTGAAGGTAGAAGTAGAAGGTCTAATGCTAAAAGTCTAATGTGGCTATACTCCACAGGTTATATGTCACATAGAGGAAAAAAATAAATTTCAGAAGAATCTGGATGAAGTGACAGAGTATTCCCAGGAAGGAGAGAGGTGTGATCAAAGCAGACATGAATGTACATGTTGGTGAAGGAAACAGAGGGTATGAGGTAGTGATGATTAGGTTTGGTGTCAAGGAAAGAAACCAGGAAGGACAGATGGTGGTGGATTTTGTCAAGAGAATGGAAATGACTGTAATCAACACTTATTTCCAAATGAGGGAGGAACACGAAGAGACTTATAAGAGTGGAAGCAGGATTACACAGGTAGATTGCATCCTGTTTAGAAAAGGAAACCTGAGGGAGCTTGGGGACTATAAGGTTGTGACAGGGGAGAAAAATGGCCAGACAGCTTTGGATGGTTGCATGTAGAATGGATGTTGTGAAAAAGAACAAAATAGTAAAATTAGAGAATAAGACTACACGGTGGAAGCTGAGGAAAGAAGAATGTTGTGAGGAGTAAAGAGAAGAGCTGTTAATGGTTATGGGTGATAAGAAAGATCTTCCAGATGATTGGGCTAAAACATCAACTGTAATTAGAGACAGGTAGGAAGGTACTTGGTGTGTCATCTGGACAAAGCAAAGCCAATGACACCTGGTGGTGGAATATTGAAGTGCAAGAAGCTATTCAGAGAATGAGGTTTGCCAAGAAAAATATATAAATAAACAAATAAAGTAAGTGGACAGAAGACAGTAGACATGAGTATAAGGAGATTCAATGCAGACCAAAAGTGGCGGTAGCTACGGCAAAGCAGAAAGTGTATGATGACTTGCATGAGAGACTGGACACTAAAGAGGGCAAAAATGACTTGTATCGATTGGCAAGACAGAGGGATCAGGCTGGAAAGGATGTGCAACAGGTTAGGCTTGTGAAAGATAGGAATTGTAATGTTCGAAAAAGTGAAGAGAACGTGACAGGAAGATGGAAGGAGTATTTTGGAGGAGGTGATGAATGAAGAGAATGAAAAGGAAAGAAGAGTAGAGGTCATAGAAGCTGTGGACCAAGAAGTGGGAAAGATTGGTGAGAGTGAAATTCAGAAAGTTCTGAAAATAATGAAGAAAGGAAATAAATGCATTATGATCGGATATTACATCAGTGGAAGTTTGAAAATGTCTAGGAGATATGGCTGTGAGGTTTTTGACCCAAATATTCATTGACATATTTGAGGGTGAGTAAATGTCTGATGAATGGAGGAGAAGTGCGCTGGTGCCCATTTTTAAGAACAAGGGTAATGTATACCATTGTAGCAACTAGAGTGGAATTAAGTTGACAAGCCACACAATGAAGATCTGGGAGAGAAGGCTGAAGTGTGTTGGATAAAAGATTAAACATTTCAACAAAGAAGAATCCATCCAAAGGACCTGACTCAACTTTAAGTTATTCTAACTAGATTATTGAGGCTTTCTGTGGGCCCACCACCTACAGGAGGGGCCATATAAGTCAGGTGCATGATGCCATGGGCAGTGGCCAAAGGCGGAGGCCTTGGTGCTCTGACCCTGGCTTACCCAAGCTGTCTCTTTGGACATAGAACGTAACCTCTCTGGCAGGGAAGGAGCTTGAACTTGTGTGTGAGGTTGAGAGGTACTGACTAAATATAGTTGGACTCACCTTGATGCACATCATGGGCTCCAGAACCAATCTCGTTGAGAGGGGCTGGACCTTACTGTACTCTTGAGTTGCCCATGGTGCGAGACGCCAAGCTGGCGTGGGTCTACTTTTAGCCCCTTTACTTGGTGCGTGTGTGTTAGAGTTTTACCCAGTGGATGAGAGGGTGGCTTCCTTGTGCCTCTGAGTGGGGGGATGGGCTCTGACTGTTGTTAGTACCTACGTGCCAAATGGCAGTTCAGAGTGTCTGGCCTTCTTGGAGTTTTTGGCAAGGGTGTTGGAAGGTGCAACAGCTGGGGACTCCTTTATTCTGCTGTGGGATTTCAATGCCCATGTGGGTTATGACAGTGTGAGTGTGAGGATTTGTCTGTTCTACTGTATAGGGATTCTCAGTTGTCTCCAAGGAGATTCTGGCAAACCATCAGGCGACTGTAGGTGGGAAAGCAGTGCTTTACTAACACTGAGTTCAATGAAGATGGGGTGCTGTTGACCTCAACCAGTGTTGTCATTGGAAAGTGGTATCCAGAGAAAAGTCCAAGCAAGCATGAGAACATGCATACTCCACGCAACTTATTACAATTAATATTCTTGCTTTAGTTATTTTATTCAAACTGACATTTTTTTTTAACAAAGAATAGATTGAAATGTTGGTCTCTTTGTTCCAGCCCTCCTTTTTCTGGCTCAGACCCCATAAAGATTTACACTATGGTCCTCCATGGCATTGAGAAAGTGGATTTTCCTAAGAAAATAGGCAAGCGACCAGACGACCTCATCAGAAGACTGTGCAAGTATGCAGACTCACATAAGATGTGTAGATACAGCACTATTACCAGTGCTTAATTTGTAAACCAAACAATTCCAGAATGTAAATAGTGTGTGGGTGGGATCTGGTGGTCCTCCCCCAGAAATTTTTGAATAAAATAGATGCCATTTCCTGCATTCTGGTGTATTTTAACTAGGGATGGGGGTGATCCGATCCGGTATTGGCCTTCAATAACAGATTAATTTACATATCGGATTTTTCCGATCCAACCTGCAGAGATTTCCGATCCATCATGCATGTCTGTCTGTTGAAACTTCTCATGCGATTCCCTGCCAGCTGCTCTGCACGTTGGCTTCAAACTATGGAATGGTTTTCCTGAACGGAGGCATGTCTCATGAAACCCAGAGTAATAAGACCTGCCTCACATTCAGGAAATCCATTTCATAGTTTGCAGCCAGCTAAAATGTGAGGACTGAGTGAGCAGCACTGTGGCTAATGGCTAGCCAACTTTTCATTAAAACATGTCTGCTATGTGGAAGTATTTTACACTAGAAACACCACAAAGCAAAACAGCAATGTGCAATGTCTGCAGAGCCATAGCACCACATTAAACCATGGTAAAGTTAGTTTTATGTTGAACATTCAAGCTCCGTGGCTTCAGCGGGGCGCTACTCTTGCTCAACCCGAAGAGGGCATTCTGATTTCGGTCAGCCGCGCCCAATCTGCCACGCTCAGTCTGCCCATCTCGGAGGAGGGGCATTTTGAGCGCGGCTGACCAAAATCAGACTGCCTTCTTCGGGTTGAGCAAGAGTAGTGCCCTGCTGAAGCCACGGAGCTCGAATGTTTATCAAGAAGTTGCTAAACTTCATCGTAATTAATGACCAACCGCTGTCAGTTGTCGAAAACGAAGGATTTCACAGCTTGATGCAGCCAAGATATAGTTTACCCTCCAGGAGATATTTATCAGTACAATAGTAGACAATCATTAAAAAAACATATGAATTGAAAATTACAAGAAAATT